AATTGCGTAAAGTTAACTCGGCAAATTGATATCGCTTAGTATCGTCCGACAATGGGGAGAAAACAAATAACCGTAGCTGAACTTTGGAGAAATTCGTTCGATCGTTAATAATCGTGTCTGTGGTAATGGTCGAAGTATGAGGGAAAAAAAAAGAAGACGAGGAAGAAGATGAAAAGAAAAAAAAAAGAAGAAGAAAAAAGAAAAAGAACAATAACAATAATAATAATAATAAGAAGAAGAAGAAGAAGAAGAAGAATCGTTGCTATGTTTCATCATACCGAGAGAAAAATACTCAAATTGTACGAAATAAAATTGCAATAGAAAGAAGTATTAACGAATAGATCGATTATATATTAATAATATTAGATTTTAAATGCATATTAATTATGCGTCTTTCGTAATTAAGAATTTACGAGTTTTTATCGGCCATTAAATTTTCATACTATTCTTAACCAAACCTATCTTCCCCCACTCCACCCCCTCCCCCATCACCCACTCCATCATCTGCTATCCATCAACTCATTGTAATAATCTAACAGAAGATAATTTGACTGAATCGTTTTGATTCGTTGCGTTGGTTCTAAAGCAAGTATCGATCCTCGACCAAAACGGACGACCATCGTCGTCGTAGCTACGTTCATTGTTCTCTCGTAATTTCATTCGAATTCGTTCGAAAGGTACCACCACCCGGTCGTCGCTATGGGTGAACGTCAAAACGTTTACATCGATCGAAGGGAACGTAATTTCATGGTACGCGGAACGAAATGATAAGGTTAATTCGTTCATTCGTTCATTCGTTCATTTCGAATTTTCTCTTTGAATATAAAGTGATAAAAGAAAGTAGTATTTGGGATTTGATTAATCGGGGGAAAAAAAAAATAAAAAAATAAAGTATTGAAAAGAAAAAAAAAATATATATATATATACATAATAAAAAGGAAAAAAAAAGAACCATCGCTCATTTACGATTAACAAAGAAAAAAGAAAGAAAGAAAGCAAAAAAAAAAAAAAAGAAGAAAAAATTATTCTCTATGTTTTCGATAAGCAAAAGAAAAAATAAAAAAAAAGAAAAGAAAAAAGAAAAAAAAATCCATCTTTCCATTGAAAAATTTCATTCGTATTAGAAACCATCGTGATCATTCCAATTTCTTATATCTAAAGTTTGTTCATTTATCTTATTCTAACCCAAACCCTTTTTTCGTTCTTCCTAATCATCAAGAGAAAGGATTTCGACTACTATTACCAAGAGTAATTCATGGAATTCGATATGAAAGGAGAGACACTTAGTTCTCTGTCTCATCTTCGTCGTCGTCGTTGTGTTATAAGCGTTCCACTAATCTAACTTGTGAAATTGTGCACGAAGAATGAAGATCTTCGAATGAAGGATAGAAAGTCTGTGAGATAGAGAGAAAGAGAAAGAAAGAAAGAAAGAGAGAGAGAGAGAGAGAGAGAGAGAGAGAGAGACAGAGAAATGGTAGGTAAAGATCTGAAAGGTACTTGGTGCCATTGGTCGCAACGAAGAACCATGCCGTTGACAGTTTGTAAATGATCCAGTTTGCTGGGTGAGAAAGTGAGAAATAGGGAAGAAGAGCTTGGTGAAGGAATGATATATGTATGTGTATACGTATCTGTGTATGTATATGTGTATAGAAAGAAAGAGAGAGAGAGAGAGAGAGAGAGAGTGAGAGAGAGAGAGAAAAGAGGAATGAGGGTGAATCTCGTTTCGAGAAAGGGAAATGAGTAGAAGAGGAGCCTCTGGAAAAGGGGTGGAACGGTCCCGTTAACTATTCATCTTCGTGGCGATCCAACAAACTTTCCTACCCGCTTACCCGCAGCTACGGAATACTAAAATTGTCGCGAAAGGAAAGCCTTCAAGCGTTAGGAATATAACAGATAAGAAAGATAAAGTTTCCTCGATCGTGGAATTATCCTTTTAACATTTTCGCGGTATAAAATTTTTTATGATTATAACTTTACAAAGAGAAAATATTATATCTTTCGCGTTATATTATTAAAAGGGAATAAAATATTTAATGTACAAATATGTTGTCGAGCGTAAAAAAATATATCTCCCGTTATTTTTCATTAAACATTATGTAATGTTTAACAAACCAGATTGAAATTTTGCGGATATGTTAACAGGACTTTTTCTTTTTTTAATTTTTTGTTAAATTACTTCCTTCCAGCTCGTCGATCCGCACATCGTAGATCCTACGAACGAGCATTTAATGTGAAACAGAACGCCTCTTCTACAAGCTGGACAACGGACAAACGAACGGACGGCTTGTCATTTGCATACAATGAACCCATGGTCGCGTTAACTGTTCGGGGACGTGGAACGAGCTACAAGTCACCTGGTACCAGTAATTGAAATGAGGGAAGTTCTCTGAGGGAAGGGTAGTTCGAAGAGATGATCATCGTGGGACTACAGAGAGAGATAGATAGATAGATAGATAGATGGATAGATAGATAGATAGAGAGAAAAAGGAAATGATCGCCGTTGAGACAATGGAAATTTTAGTGCGATCGACAAAAAAGAAACATTTTTTTTTCAGCTTAACGATTACAGAAAACAGTCGTCGTTTCGATGAACTTATCTATGACATCAATACCATCGACCTTCGAAGTATATATCAGTTATATATACATATATATCGATTATCCTCGTCATCTGAAAAAAAGAAAGAAAGAAAGAAAGAAAGAAAGAAAAAAAAAAATAAGAAGATATATTACTATGAAAAGATTTTTTGTCGCAAAGTATATCAGAGCAATCTGAATTGGAAGATTGAAGAAACGATGGAAAAGATTGGATCGTTCGTTAATCGCTCGATTTTTAATTACTTCCTACAGGAAAGACTGGAACGAGGCAAGAAAAACCTATGTCGGCGGGAGAGTCCTGTTGAAAACGGTTAATAAGTACTGAAAGAGAGGGAGAATCATAAAGAGAGGGAGAAAGAGAGAAAGAGAAAGAGAAAGAGAAAGAGAGGAAAGAGGTACAGTGCTGAAAAACCCCCTTGAAACTTTACAGACTACGAGAACGAAACGGGAGAGGACGAGTCCGTTGCTTTTGGTGTTGCTGTTACTGATGCTGTTAGTAGTAGTACCAGCAGCAATAGTAGTAGTAGTAGTAGTAGTTGTAATGATAACGATGGTAGCTAACGTTGGTGATGGTGCTGACGACGGACAGAAAAGGGAGAGTTTAATTAAATATCACACGACATATTATGGGATGAGATCGGAAACGTGTAGATTGCCCTTACTGGCAAGTAAACGTCAGGGACAGAACTCAATGTTGAAAAGTTCAAACGAATCGAACCCTAGAGAAGGTTAGTTTCTGGGCATTATCATTGAAGGAGATAACCACCCTAGACCCTGGAACGACACATTGGTCTCCCGGATATAGAGAATGTCGAGACATTTCAGCTTAACCGTTCCGTGTCCCCAGTTTTTTTTTTCTTCTTTTTTTTTTTTTTTTTTTTTTTTTACAAATACCGAACCACTCTGAAAATTCCATCGGTATGACCCTTCGACTATCTTCCTTTTTTTTTCCTCTCTCTCTCTCCTTTTCCTTGGTCCTTTCCTTTCCCTTTTTCCTTCTTTCCTCCTTTCTATCTCTCCTTCTTCTCGTACAATATATTTCCTACGTATACGCGCGTGCACAACTACCTAAACGTCAATTCGATTAGATTTGGAAAGAAAAAAAAAAAAAAAAAAAGAGAAATAATTTCCGTCACGTTTGGGTTATAAGAAGGAAGAGAGAGAGAATAATATTCTATGGGAACAATGTCATATAAAAATTACAAATCATTAAAAATGTATACGCAACAGACAAGAAACAACAACAGTGTATCTTTATGTATGTAAATCCCTTTCGTATCGTTGGAAACAAATAAAACGCAACGCGGTTATAGTCATCCGAAAGGAAATCCAAAGTATGAGAGGGTAACGTGTTCATGTTTCAAAGGGTTCTCTCCTTCCTTTAGGTTTGTACGGCTTGAGGCCAAGCTAACCATCGTCAACCATCTCCAGGATCAGACGAGAGGGCAAAGGCAACGTTTACTCGCTACGTTTGCACAATCTTCTTTCACCGCGGCTTGCGTACTCTTATCTCCATCATCATCTCTCTTATACAACATTCATCACGATACTCCGCGAATTAAAAGCCCATGAATATGGTAAGGATGCAAATTCAAGGATCGGTGTTTATTCGGGATCAGTGTTACTTGGCAATCTGCATATTTCGGTGTCGGGAACACAACGGAATGAGAACTGTGCTATGGTCCAGCTATGCATATTATCTCTCTCTCTCTCTCTCTCTCTCTCTCTCTCTCTCTCTCTCTCTCTTTCTTTCTCTGTCTGTCTCTTTAGGTATCTATCTATCTCTATCTATCTATCTTTACGTCGTTGTTGAGTAGGGTTAGAAATCTACAAACAGAGATGACTAGGTGATGCTGGCCATGCGAGATAACTATGGAAGTTAATTATTGAGACGAGATATTCACCTACCAAACACACTTAAACCTAACTCTGAGACTTGTTTAACGAGCCATTTTCTAATAAATAATACAAACTACCTCGACTCGATTGTAATGTAGTATTAATTTTTTTTTTCTTCTTTTTATAAACGAATAAATGATAGAACGAATGAACGAACGAACGACGAGTTCAGATTTAAATGTTAAAAATTGATTATTAATCATTTCTAAATGAAAAGATAAAGACAAAGATCCTATCACATTGTTGACTATTTAACTTAATCAGTTAGAATAATTTTTGAAGATAAAAAGAAGAAGGAAAGAAAATTTCTCAAACGTAATTAAAAAATTTAAACGAGCATTTTCCATAAAAGTTCTGAAATTTTAAGAGATATATTAATAACAAATAATACTGCTTATAATCACTGTCTATCTTCGTTCATTTTCAAATACAAATAAATATATTCATATATTTATTTATTTATTTAAATTATTTATTTATATTATTTCAATTAATCAATTTACCTGTATAAGGTCGACAATAGTTCCGATTTACTTTGCTATAAATCGTTGGCAATGAAGTCTCAGCTCCTGGTTCGATATAGGCCTTACTCTTGCTATCTCTAGGATCACTGTATTGTTCCACGACTTCAATCTCTGCCTGAAAGGAAAAGAATAATTTTGTAATTTTTTCTTTTTTCCTTTTTTTATTTCGTCTTCTTTTTTTTTTTTTTTAAATGTCTCCCTTCGACATTTCATATCGATGGATTAATGATAATATTATAATAATAATAATAAAAAAAGAAAAATTCATTATTTATGTTATATTTATATTAATTGGCAAGATTATTATTATTTGGCAAGAGATTAGTTAATTATTGGCATAACCATTTCTACAATACTAATTTGGCAATGGTTCCATTTCTCCCTAATACACACACACACATACATACATACATACATACATACACATAGGACATATACAAACACACACTTTAAAGTTTGTACCTAATAGTGACGTCTAGGAGCGTCGTCTCTTTACGGGTTACCACGAGAAAGGGTTATTGCCGGAGTTTCCTAGGTCTAAACGTACGAAACACGTTAACAGCAAACCGTTTCCACCTTCTGAACGTGGCCAATTGCGGTAATGCCTTGGCATTGGAGAAGTTAAAGGGGTAAACATTTTCTTCTGCATATTTATTATACATTTAAACGATCGTTACTTCCGCGAAAAAAAGAAAGAAAGAAAAGAAAAAGAAAACAAAAAGCAAATTGCAAAAAGAAAAATAACAAAAAAGAAAGGAAAACAGAATAACACGTTCAACTAATATCCAATAAAAAGATTTCTTCTTGGATGGAAAGGAAATTTTCGTTTTTTTTCTTTTTTTTTTTTTTTTTTTCTTTCTTTCTTATTAAACAGTAACCGCGTTATTTATACATACATATGAATAATTAATATAAATTTTTGTATACGATTATAAGAAAAAAAAAAATAAAATAAAATAAATAAATAAATAAATAAATGCGACGGGAATAGATCGATTAGAAAGATAATGTAAAATTTAATCGATATCGATGGCTCAATCAAATTGATCTTAAATTAAAAAGCAATCTCAATTTACGTTTACGTAACATTTATCCAAATTCATTGGCATTCGTTTAAATTGGAATGAATTTAAACAGAGCATTAAGAAAAATACACGAAATGTCTGTCAGTACGAATTGACTCGAGGATGTCAAAGGAATAGAAAAAAAAAAATAAATAAATAAATAAATAAATAAAAATGAGTCCGGCTAAACCACCCTTCATGGTTCCTCCAAATATCGTCGTAATATCTGAATCTTCTTTTTTTCTTTTTTGTTTTTTTTTTACCATCCTTCTTCATCCCTACCTACGTTTATTCTAGTAAGGAACTTTCTCTTTCTTTTTTGATATTATCTTTCTCTTTCTCTCTCTCTCTCTCTCTCTCTCTCTCTCTCTCTTTCTTTCTATCTCTTTTTATATCCTTTTCTTTTTCTTCTTCGATATTAATAACAACACCAATGATGAGAGGTAATAACGATATCCTCGGGCAAAAAGTATGAATGAAGTAGGTACCTATTTATCAACGAATCGAAGAAGAATGAAGATGGAAGGACGACAAACTTTAGTGTAAAAGAGATAGACAGATAGACAGAGATCGATAGATAGAGAGTTAAGATTTCTTGAGATAGAAAATGCCTGATCAATGGGAAGAAGAAGTCAAGCATGGTTTCTTAAAAATAAAATGGTATGAGTGTATCAGGAGTCAAAGAAAAACACAGAAAATAGAGACTGACTGAGTGACTGGCTAAAGAGAGAGAGAGAGAGAGAGAGAGAGAGAGAGAGAGAGAAAAAGATATGAGCAGATAGGACGAAGAGAGAGAAAGAAAGATGGGAAGCTCTTTAGCCCTTCCCCCCACTTCCCTCTCTCTCTCTTTCTCTCTCTTTCTCTCTCATTCTTCGACGAAAAAAAACGTTGTGGAAAAGAGAGACGGAAACAAGGTGGAAGGTTTGAGAGATGGATGAGAAGACGGCGAAGAAGACAAGTAGCCTTAAATTGAAAGAACCCGAAATTGGAATTCTCCTGCCAAAGTTGAACGTCGCTGCCCTCGGGGGGTTGTTCCGAAGGCGAAAAGGTCTGCCAACGATTCACCACCATCCACTATCCTCCTTCTCCTCCACCTCCTCCTTCTCCTCCTACCATCATCCACCCCTCGACTACGTTCCCGTTAAAGAAAGTGAACGAACGAGTGAGAAAGAAATAAAGAGAGAGAGAGAGAGAGAGAGAGAGAGGGAGAGAGAGATCCCTGGTAACACATAAATTCGTAGATGTTTATACGGAAATTACGAAGGTAGCTTTCGACGATAGGGGGAAAAGTACGTACATGAGAGTCCCGATCTCGACTGTTGAAAATTTAACGTTGACGAACCGAATACGATGATTTATCCCACCCTATCCTGTGTAAACATTATCAACGAGGTGTATCCTCATTTGATCGTGAGTTATATGACGTTTCGTATTCTCGATAAAATTCGAATCGATCTTTCGAATTTGTGGCTTCGTTTCTCGCAATCAAGGATCTTCAATGAAATTCAAATAGATTTTTGTTAACCTCTTTGTCTGTACGTATATATGTATGTATATCTCTCTTTTTTTCTCTCCCTCTCTCTCTCTCTCTCTCTCTCTCTCTCGTTCATTAAAAAATATATCGAACTTCTATTTAACGTAAAAAATTTCCTGATCAATTGTTTAAATAAATTCATTACTTCAATTCTAATTATTATCGAGTAATTAAGAATAATGAATTTATTAATGTAATTACCCGTTAATAACATAAACAATTCTAATTCACCATGTTATTTTCTTTCTGCCATATTGCATAAATCTCTCGTTACTTTCCGCGGTACTAGTGCACGGTACTGCATGGAGTTACCCTCGGCCATCGACGGAGTGAAATTCCGTAAAAGGTGGTTGTTACCCTCTCTCTCTCTCTCTCCCTCCCTCTCTCTCTCTCTCTCTCTCTCTCTCTCTCTGCCGCACGTTCCATTCGGTAATCCTATCGATTTATGAAAGACTTTAAGCCGATTATTCGACCACTGTATTATAATCGGGAACGATCATTAGCCAACATAATCATACAACTTCGGGCTATTTACGATGGTCGAGCGTATGCATTTTACCTCGATTTATTATTACATACCGACGAAGTCTTCTTGATCCTCTTTCTTGCATTACGTAAAATGGCCAATCCCCCTATGCGACACTATAATATTCCTTTTGTTCTGCGAATCCGAGAGTGAATTTATAAAAAAAAAAAAAAAAAAAAAAGGAATAGAGGAAAAAGAAAAAGAAAAGCAGAAAAAAATAGCATTCCGTATTATTGATCTCAAAATAATTTATAATTTAATCCTTTCATTTTACCGACAGTCTTTAATTATGATTATATATATATATATATATATATATATATATATATATATATATATATATATATATATACTGGCTTGTAAGATAAAAAAAAGAAAAAAAAAACAAAGAAAGAAAGAAAGAAAGAAAAAGAAAGAAAAGGTTCATAAATTTTGAATTCAATAAAACGGATCCGACCCCTCCAACAATTGTTTCGGGGGCAACTTTTGGTCCCGCCCACCCTCCTATGCTACCCCATTTTAACTTAAAAAGATCAAAATGAAAAGAAATAAGAGAATGTAAGAAGAAGAGAATTGTTCCGTAACGCGACGTTCTAAGTTCGTACCTTCGAAGAATAAGGGCCGAGAGATGGTAGGCCCTTTTGTTTAAAGTGATAAATGCGAAGCGACGGCCGTGCTCGACCTCACGCATAAAATAAAGCGCTAAAGTATTAAGTAGGGCTTACGAGCGAGAGTCATAACGATTCACCCCTCTTGAGTCAAGTGCCACCATCGGTTCTCTCTCTCTCTCTCTCTCTCTCTCTGTCTTTCTCACTCACTCACTCACTTGATCTCACGATACGAAAAGCACTTTCAATGGGGGAGAGAGAAAGAGAGCTGTTCTGTGACAACGAGGCAAAGGAAACTTTTGTTCGACGCTTACCAGGTGTTCTTCCTTCGACTCACCCATAAGCAATATTTTTCTTTTCCATATTCCCTCAATCCCCTATCCCTGTTTTATCTTATTTTTTTTTATTTTTTTTTTTTTTTTTTACTTTTGACAAATTTCTCAAACAAAGATCATGATAAATGCATCTCGTAAGATTCTCATAATCCTTTCTTTTAATCCGTTCTTCGTCATAAATTCCTCCTCCTCCTCCTCCTCCTCCTTCTTCACCGTTCATCGATCGTTCCATTTAACTTCATTTCTCTGTTAATTTAATAAAAGTATCAACCAACGTTGTGTTACCTTTTTTCAAAATCGATAGAACGAACACGAGTTTTCTCTTATTCGGAGTAATTTCTATGACTCCCCTTACTCTCCTATTGTCTCTCTTCCCCCGCCCCCACCCGACCCTACACCATTTGCCCCGTTCCAACCTGTACCGACCGAAGAGTCGCAACGAAAACTCGTTCTCCAACACGTACAGGGCCAAGCTCGTAATCAATGTACGGTAGTTATACAAAGTTAACAAGTCGTCGAAATATCTGGTAGAATGTTAAAAGTGGACTCGTAATGTATTTCGAAAGTTTTAGTCAAATATATAACCGCGAACGTGAGGACAGCGTGCATACATACACATATACAGATAAATATATAAATGGAGAAAGAGTTAGTAGAGGTTAAAAGTATTACGTATACATATACGATTCATTATCGAATCCTCGTAGTCGTCGTAGTCGTCGTAGTCGTCGTAGTCGTCGTAGTCGTCGTAGTCGTCGTAGTCGTCGTCGTCATCGTCGTCGAGTAATCTCGAAAACTCATTCGAGAAGTTTTCATTCTCATCTCTCGCAAATATCACCAAACGAGAAAGGGGACTATATAGCTTTTTGGGAAAAGCTACGCGTGACGCGCGTAACAGAAGTAACGTTGACGATAGTAAAGGTGATGATGGTGCCCTCGAAGGGAAAGAGGAGTTTTGGAGAAGGAAAGGGGTTAGGCGGGATGACAGAGGATGGTGGTGAGGAGAGGGGCTCGTTGGAGACGTGTTTCAGGGGCAGAAGCATTTAGGCGCAGCGCTCGAGGCAACCCCACAGTCGCCAGAAACTGAGTGCCGGAGCAATTATAAGCAACGCCGGAAGTCACCGTTCTCCAGCCCCACCCTATCTCTCACACCTCTCATCCCCCTTTAACATTCTCTCTCTCTCTCTCTCTCTCTCTCTTTCTCTCTCGCTTTTAGTTCGTTCGTTCGTTCGTTCGTTCCTTTTCACTCACGCAGTAAGCACTAGGAACGGCCTTGTTCCTCTCAACCATCCTCGACGATCATTTCTCTCTCTCTCTCTCTCTCTCTCTCTCTCTCTCTGTTAGTCACCACCCACGTACCAACCTCACGTAATCCCTCTCGTAACCTCCTACCTTCATGCCCGACGGGTATTTTGTCACCGTCGTAATTATATTTCTCCCTTCAGCCAGCCGATTTTCCGACAGTTCGCCGAGCGAAAATATCAATACTATCCGTTTAACTCCGACGGCAACGATTCTAAACGTACTAGAAAAATTGTCGATAATAATTTCAGAATTGTTACATTTATTTTTCTTTCTTTCTTCCTTCCTTCCTTTCTTTTTTTTTTTTAATACGATTTACTCTTTCTTTTTTTTAGCACACACATAAGCATACGCACGTTGAGTTCTACCTTGTCGTTTATTATATTGATATACTTTTGATAACACGTCTCTTTTTTTATTTCCTATTTCTTTTTTCGTCAAATTTCAAATCAAATTATACGATTAATAATAGATACTTAGATACTTGAATGAGTTTTTGTATATTAGATACAAATGATACTTTAACATAGATAAAACTTAAACAAATAAATATACCCACATTATTCGTGAATTTTATTTTACGATTGGTAATCATTGAGAAATACGTGATAAAATAAATAAATTAGATCAATCTAAGAGAAAATATAAATAAGTATGTAAGTAAAATACTCACGTTCTCGACTGTAGGACTTGGCAAAGTCCACTGAATCGACGAGGAAGTTGCAGCCGCAGCACTGGAGGGACGTTTCTTGTTTACGAAGTCAACCGGTAAACTATACTCGTCGCACAATGAGACCTGAAAATAGAATTAAATACCTGACGTGATAATTTGCAAAATGTATCTATGAGAAAAATAGATAGATAGAGAGAAAGAGAAAGAGAGAATAAGTTCATTGAATTTCTATTACTTTAAACAAATGGATAGAGATATAAATGGGGATCAATTCTAAGGCCATTGTATCGAAGACTATCGATCAGTACGATGTCTGAGAATGGCGATGGATTTCCTATCAAAGATTCAAGCACTCAACCCTATAAAAATAACAACGAAAAAAAAAATCATTTTCACTCCATGGGGTATCTCTAATTACCTGTGTCCTGTCTCGAGCACGCATCGCATAAAGCAATAGGGAGAACGATGTATGAAATGGAAAATGGAATTCCATATATATATATATATATATAGGAGAATAAAAAAACAGGATAAAAAGAGGGAGGGCGATCTAAGCCAAAAAAAAAAACGAAAGGTATTCATTGTCGAGTAAAGCGTGGATTTTTGCCGCTCGACAAATCGCAGGGTAAGCAAAGTCATCCCCTTCCTCCATTCTCCTCACCAAGCAACAGTATAGTAGAGAACAGTAACACAACGAATGGTCCAGCTCATCAGTGATATTTACTGTCTGTTGGAGAATCGATCTATATCGATGGGTGCCCTCACTAGAATAGTCAGCAATAGCAATAGCAACCAGGACTATTACCAGGACACCAGGAAGGCCAGGAGCTTGGCACCCTTCTTTCTACTTGCCTAACGACAAAGCTCCTAAACGAGAGAGAGAGACAGAGGGTGAGAGAGAGAGAGAGAGAGAGGAAGAGGTAGGAGCCACAGAGTACGGCCTACCACCTAGGTCCGTGCGTGCATATAAATCGAGACAATCGCGAATCCCCTGAGGGCGGCTTATCGCGCTGTTGGAGCTTGGGAGGCGGGCTAGCAGCAGCACCACCATCACCACCAGCACCACCACCACCACCACCAGCAGCCAGCTTCATTCGTTCCTCTCCTCGGGAAAAGGGACCGGGACTTCGCTGTAACACCAACCCATCTTCGACTCCACGCGGATATATCCAGGGAATGCTGCCGTTTTATTCTGCCGGAGACCTCGCATGCAAATGGCCCGCGTTTATTGTTGAGCAAAGAGCGCTATATGAATATGTGAAGTGGTAAATGGAAGAAAAAAAATTCTATACATCGGCAGGGAAGCTTTGGCTTTGAAATGGATTAAAGGAAAGGGATGGTAATCGAACATTATCGATAATCGAACATCATTACGAGGATATTCGATTATTCTCTTTCTCTTTCTCTTTCTCTTTCTCTTTCTCTCTCTCTCTGTCTCTCTCTCTCTACCTCTCTCTCTCTCTTTTGCTCTCGCTCTTTCTAATAAGTTTCCATTAACGAATGATTATGATTAGTAAATGTATTTCGTTCGTTAACCCACGGAAATGTCTAGACGACGACGTTAACAAGATAAAGCTTAAATATATATATATATATATATATATATATATATATATATATATATATATACTTTCTTGTTCCCATGAAATTGATACTAACAAGTGGTAATGCATTTCCTGAACTCACACGGCTTCGGGCAATCACCTATTGAGAACTGGAAGATTCCACTGTTTATCACTGTATGGAGGAAGCCAAATACAAATCCAGGCCGTCTCGTTCAAATATATCTTTCATTTGATTAAATCATCGTGCAGAATTGTCTCGTAAGATTAATTAAATATTAAACATAAAAGATCAAATCTTACGTTAATGAGGGTGCTAGGAAAAAACAAAAAAAAAGAAAAAAAAAAAAAAAAGAAAGAGAGAAAAAAAAAGGAAAACAATGAAGAGAAAATTTGTTTCTCGTCATTCTTATCATCTCTCGAATCCTACGACAAAAGTAATAATCCTCGGTTACTCTGCGTTACAACGAATATTACGTTTCTTTCTTTTCTCTTTCTTCTTTTCTTTTTTTTTCTTTTTTTTTTTTCTTCAAGCACGTATGCTCCCTAACCCGTTCGTTGCTTCCTCATGGTAAAAAGGAAGAAAAAAAAAAAACCAGAAAAAAAGGAGAAAGAAAAGTCAACGATGAAGCTAATGTTGGTTGGATCCTGGATACAACCCTCGAAGGTTGCACGGCAAATCTCCCGTCCGCATTCCCGTTACGTCCGGCATCTCTCGCGGGTGAGCCGAGATTAAGCGAGAATATTTAGCAAATGTTTCGCATAAATCAAAGCCGGCGCAATATGTTCTGAGTTTCGTGCGAGGCTATGTAAATTCATGGTAATACCAGTGGCCACCCCGCGGAGAGAGGAGTTTCGATTGGTGGAAGAGGTTCTAAGGGGTGGGGAAGGGGAATGGGATACGAAGAGACGTGGTCGACGAGTGAGATTGAAAGAGAGAGACAGCCGATGAATGAGAGTTAGAGACAGAAAGACAGAGATGGAGAGAAAAAGAGAGGGAGAGGGAGAAAAGGGGAGACGTAGAGAGAAAGAGAGAGAGAGAGAGAGGAAAAGGAAGGAAGAAGCAGTAGGAAAAGCTCAGAGCGAGGGTGGCAAAGCGCGTATTTCATGAACCCCTAAAGCAGCCCTGAGCATTGCTGCAACCGCCACAATCCCATTCATTCTCTTTATGGGCTCCCAAGTATTCGGGCACCGGGCTTGAATAAATCGGAAATTTGCCCATGGGGTAGAATCGACCGATTCTGCTCTTTACGATTTAACTATGACTTTCGAACTGGTCATCCTTATCAATACACCAAATGAAATATCCTTTTTTATTTTTTTTTATTTTTTTTTTTTGTTTTTTTCGTCCATTTTCTTTGCTTTTTTTCTCCCTTTTCTTTCTTCTGTTCCGTGTCGTAACCTTGTTCGATCAAATTTAAAAAAGAAGTAAATAAAATGATTACTTCAAGGATAATAATATTATATATATATATATATATATATATATATATATATATATATGTGTGTGTATTGAACTTTCACTGTTCAAAATGGATTTGCTGATGTAATCCTTCAAACAAAGTTTCAAATTGCTTTGACGGCTAGAAATAGTCGAAACTATTCAACGAAGATACAATCGTTCGACCGTGCAAACAGATCGATCACGATGACATAATTAACCCTAACTTGGTCTTGAATAGATAAAGGGTCCCAACGACCGAGTAGAATATCTAAATGGTTGTCAGTAAACTGTAAACCTAACGTTACGATAGAACGGGAAGGGGAGAAAGAGAATCTACATTTGAATTAACAAGGACTTTAAACTCTATGTTGTACAATATCGTGTTGTTAAATCCTTCATAGATCATTTCGATTTGTAGTACCACAAATATTTCCATAATCGTATCGACGAGGAATAAATTATTCGAATTTATATATATATATATATATATATATATATATATATAAATTTGAATGATAATAATAATAACATAAAATTCGTTCAATCAGTACGAATATCGATAACATATATATATATATATATATGTAATCTTCGTGGATGGTGGGGGAAGGGCAAGAAAAAAGGGAACGAACGATTTATTATAATTTCAATGACTCATAGATACGACATAAATAGAAATACGGATCAATTCTTTCATTATAGACATCCATTAGATAACTTGACACGGTACAACGACGTGAGAAAAGATGAACGAGTAATCGTTCAATACTAACCCTAAATGTATATCTACACACACACACACACACACACAGATACACAAACAATGTGTGTATATATATATTTCCAAAGAAATCTCAAGAGTCTTATACCCTCCACTAATAAAAAAAAAAAAAAAAGAAAAAAGGGCCTAACTTTTCCATTAACCGTTCACCATGGTCAGCTAAGATTTATCGAGATCCATAGATCCTTGTTAAAAGTCTAACGAAAATAAAAATACGAACGACGAATGTTGCGGGAAATCAAAGAAAAGTACTAACCATGATCAATGATACCGAATAGAAGAAAATAAAAAAGAAAGAAAGGAAAAACGAGTTCAAAGACAAGTCGACAAGGATACCTTAGGGATTAAAAATCCTTAGGGATTCAACTATTCTCCCTATCTTTCTCTACTTGGACCAGTTGGTCCGTACTACGTAGAACAAATATCAACGTTAAATTTTCACGAAAGGATTCTTGGCAGGACACGAGAGAGAACTTATCCAAGGGCCAAAGGCTATTCAACATCGTTTTCCAAATTTCAGTTTACCCTCGAGAAGGTTCTCGTACCTTTCGTTCGATCTTCGACAAAGGATCCACACACCATCACTACCACCACTAACACCACCACCACCATCGGCCAAAAATCGATTTTTGTTGACCAACTCGTTTATTCTCATTCGTTACGTTAGACTTACTCCATTAGATATATTTAGAATGACGGTTTTCAAAGGAACAACTCAATTATTATATATTTTTCTTATCTCGATATTTATTCGATAGATTTTTATTGTTATTAATCGATGGTAAATATTTCATCGTAATAAATTATCAACACGTATAAATATTTTCATCGATATTTATAATACAATAGATATTGGTAAGTAATAATATAAATGAATAATTAAATGTCAAATATTTGCGTATAGATTCATTAGAAATATAAACTTTATAGAATGTTTGTTAAGTAATTGAATCGAATTATTAGAAATATTTTTATTAAATATTTTAATTCAATTAGTATTACTATTAACAGACGTAATATTAATCGGATACGTGTAATTACTTTGGAATACCGATTAAAGATGTCGAATAATATTATCCTATAGAAAAATGTCACAGCCTATAGTTCGTATCGAATTGATTGACTAAATATAGAAATCTCCCAAAAAAAAAAGAAAAAAAAAAAAAAGAAAAAAATAAAGAAAAAAAAAATAAATAAATAACTAAATCGATGTACTCTTAAAATCTCATTGAAACAACTGCATTACAAAAATAAAATCTATAAATCAATCAGTTTCTCTGTTTCCATTCAAATAGAAAATAAACTTTCGTCGATAGTATTGGAGAAAGAAAGAAAG